AATACAAACTGCCAAATAGCAATGTTTATATAAATAAATAAATAGTCACTAGAGTAACAAAATCAATCGAGGTTGACAGCCTCGGTGGTCTAGTGGTTTAGCATATCACTTTACTATACTATGGTCACGGGTTCAATTCCTCGCACGGTACAAACATTTGTATTCATGAGTACGATTGTTTGTATCGATCTGGTTGTTTTCTATGTATAATATGTATTTATTTACAAAAAAAATGTATCCATGTATTTATATCAGTTGTCTAGTACCCATAACACAAGCTTTGCTTAGCTTGGGACTAGATGGCGCTGTGTGAATTGTCCTGAGATATTATTATTATTATTAAAATCATTTATAGTTATTAGAGCAGACAAGCAGTACCCATTCACGAGTATGACGGGTGAGTCAGCCATCACTGCTTAATAAAAACAAATATATTTTGTAAATAGATTTCATACAAACAATCATACTCATGATATATTCATGAAGTGTCTGTACCGTACGAAGAATCGAATCTACGACCATCATAACTAAGACAGTGTGTAACCGCTACACCACCGAGGCGTCTGAGACTAATTCCCATTTCTAAAAACCTCCTCTCCTCGTTTCAGGTTAATTGCTTCAGCAATTATAATTTAATTTTCATTTTATTTAACAACTGCAAAATGTATAAAACGAAAGCAAAAGACAAAGCACCGCTCCTGGTGATAATAACTTCACAACAGCTCACTCGAGATGAGAAAAATGCGTTTTTTAAAAGCATCATTAAGAAAAAACTATTACACTTCCCTCGCTGGCGCATCATTTTAACTTATAACGAAGTAAATTAATACAAATTTGATTATAAATATTATTAGAAACGCTTTTGAATTGTTGTTTGTTTATTTTATTATTGCGTAGTGGTTTTCAACTCCAACTTATCAGTTTCAAAATTGAAGTCACATTTGAGGAACTTTTCTCTTTATTTTTTTTTTTGCGATAAACATAGTTACTCTGCATATATTGTAATTGTAAAATAAAATGTCTCATTATGTTTTGCCTAATATAAAACATGAATATCATATATGTAGCATGTATGTGTATGTATGACTAGCATTATACGCATATTAATATTAAGATAAGATAAAAATTAACAAAAACATTTACGGTCAGATCTTTATCATCATTCATTATCACAGATATCACAAGAAGAATGAGCAGAAACTTGTGTGTTTTATTTAATTATATGTAAATATTTGTTTAATTATATTTACATTAACAACTTACTTTAAATACGAAATATATAACTAAATTAAGAAGAAGAATAATAATAATATAATATGATAGTTCAGCTTTCCTTGTTTCCTTGTATTCATTTTGTTGAAAATTACACTTGCTACTAAATTCAAATTCAAATTCAAAAATCATTTATTCATATAGGACATTTTAGCCGCTTATGAACGTCAAGTTTTTACATTATATTTTTTTTCCCTATCGCCCAGTTAGGTATATAGATCCAATTGAGAAGAACTGGCAAGAAACTCAATTGAATTACTTTTTTTTAAATTTTTTTTTTATTTATTTACAATGTATATGTATTTATATAGGTGTCTATGTCTAACATTAAATGAAAACCCCGTGCATGAACAACTATTGCCATGCACACATGCACTAAAGCTCCACCTAAATTGATGACAAAGATGGTATATCAGGATATACGTACATTTCATAATAAAGAGGTCGTTTGGGGACGTGAGTAAAATATAATCGTCTACAGTTCAAACAACTTATGAGATGATGTAACTTTATTCACTGTAAGGGAATTAAGATTTGAGTGCAGGCACATTACAGGACTAACTAAAATAGGATAAGCTCCGTCAACGCGCCGATTTTTACAACAAATAAGCTTTTCCGTAAATGACTTTATCCCGGGTACTCACTCCCCTTGCTCGTGAAAAGTGACGATGCTGTAATCTCGCATTCGTCTCTCGTCATATTACTAGGGGGGCTAATGCCGAGATACAAAGTGGACCCATCACTCTAAGTCATAACGCAACGCACTGGGGCCGAGCCAAAAACCTCATGTTGGGAATATCGCAGCCGTATCAGGGTTGCCAACCATAGCGACAACTGTGTACGAGGGTTTTGGTCTTCAGTACGAGGTACGAGGACATCATAATTCTTGTACAATTTTGTACGAAATTTTAACTCGTGGTTTATGAATAGAGTAAGATACTGCGTTCCGATGAGTGGTAAAATAAAACAAATATAACCATTCAAAAGTGCTTAAATAATGTTTTTTTTATACTACAGTTGCAAACAGGCATACGGCCCATCTGATGGTAAATGTTTATTTAAATAACGATTATTTCTATTTTCATTACCAGCGTATTTGTGACGTTTACGAGATTTCCACTAGATTTCAAGGGAAAAGTATCCTATCTAGGATGTGATTTATTTATTCAATTTAATTTAGTAGTAGTTTTTTTGTCTTTCACATGTTTTTTCTGATTAAAATATCTACTAATTCTACTAAATATAGTAGAATTAGTAGAGCTTCTCATTGTAGTCACTGATATATATATAGATAATTGTTTTATTTTTGTCTTTATCCTATAAATGAACTTGGTACAGGAAAACAAAATAGCCGCTGACTCAGTATACACTTTCGCTCTCAAAAGATCAAAACAGTTATATATTTTATTCCAACAATGGTATTTCCGAACTTTAAAATCATTTTTTTTAAATATATTTTATAAATGAATGAATATATGTCGATATTTTAATTTATCTTAATGTTTATGTTTATTTATAATTTTGTAACTGATGAACTGTAACCTGTTTTACATGGCAAATAAATAAATCAGCTAACCACGATCTCATAAGCGTAAATTGTAAACTCAATTTTAGAATTTATATACTTATAGTTTTATAGCAAGGCGGCCGGGTGTAATCATTATATATATAAACCTCTTGAATCACTCTATCTATTAAAAAAAAAACCGTTTCAAAATCCGCTGCGTAGTTTAAAATATTTAAAAGAGCCAGACAGCGAAAGCGACTTAATTTATACTATGTATAGATATATAAATTTATACCTTTACGACTGGTGTGTTATTTAAAAAAAAACGGAAAGACTTAAGCATATATAGAGACGGAAAGACAGCGACAGCGACTTCATTTTATACTATGTAATGATAAGTTAATAAGTTAGAATTATAACTCATGTGGCTGGAGAGTTAATGTACGAAATTTTTGAAATCTGTGTACGAGGTAAAATTTTTAATTTTGACAACCCTGATCATGTTACAAAATACGTTTTGTTTACGCTCACGCCTCCTTATAGGTGGGTTGGAGGATAGATAATGCCTTTTTAAATTTATGTAATAACTTACACTTAAACACCGACATACACGCATTTTTTATATATGTTCTTATGACTCAGAGTTTTCGAAAGGCGACATTTATGTTGTCACGTCAAGCTGAAACAAATATAATCAATTATAGATTATTTTTTATTAAAATAAATAATATTGTAGCGAACTCTTTGATGAGTTGAGTTTTATATTATTTTTAAATTTTATTTATTTACTATTATATAGAATCTAACAAAAATTATGATTATAAAATTATATTATAAAATTATGATTATAATATTGCTGTCATATTAGTCGCATTTTATTTTAACTTCGTATATTCCTTATTAGAACCCTCAGCATCTCTCACTCATTAGACACATTAGATTGCTCCGCTTCAATATTTTTAAAACAAAGGTAACCAATGATACTCCATATAATATTAGTTATCTGCGAGTGAAAAGCACATCAAAATCAGTCCAGCCATTTCCGAAATTAGCAAGAACAAACAGACAAGCAGTTAAAATTTTCTTTAATTAATATTATATTTTGATGGCAGTAGCCTATCTATATTGATATGCATTGAGTGAAAAGTTGTTTCTTTAAAATTATAAACAGATACTTGAATTTCATTTTTGTATAGATATCAATGAACAATCATTGTTACTTAAACAAAGGTAAAATAAAATTAAAATATATTCGCTTAGTAAAAACATTTACAATATAGATACCAAACAAGAACCATATTTTACTTAAAAGAAGAATAATTAAAATAAATTCTCTCAGTAAAAACATTTACAATTTAGATATTGCTCCTTTTTGAATTCAGTTCAAAATGAACTGAAGCTACACAAATATCGCGCTGAATGCGAATGTGACGATATAAATCTAATTAAAAACCTATTAACTGGTATTGAATCAAAGATGATTACTCATCTAATGAACGATCAAAGGGCCGTCCGATATTGAACACAGAGCAAGTACATCAAAGGTACCCGATTGACTGAATAATTTAACATTTCAAAACTCGAAAAGGATTCGCTTCTGAATTTTCAATAGGCTCATTTCAAAATAACGTTATAACGTACACTTAAACCAGCGCGACATCAAAGTTAACTTAACTTTAATAAATATAACCCAATATCAGTAACTTAACCATTTAGTTTAAATGTTCATTTAAACCTTTTAAAAGATAATAATATTTTATATTTAGGTAAATAAACTGATGGATAGGATAGGTAAATATGTTATGTGCACACAAAATTGAAAATAATTATCAGGTGTGCCGCAAACTCGTTTGTTCCTATTCGGAGTCAGTTCGGAGTGATTTCAAGATGAGAAGAACTGATAAGAAACTCAGATATATCCTTTAGGTCTGATTGGTGTCTTTCTTCATGTGATGAGACAGTTTTCCGAATGAGTGGTAGATTAAAAAAAATGCGATGATTATTCAAAAGCGCTTCAATGTAAGTTTATTTGAATAAATGATTTTCTATTCTATTCTATTAACAATAATAATAATAATAATAATCTCAGGACAATTCACACAGCGCCATCTAGACCCAAGTTAAGCTAGCTAAAGCTTGTGTTATGGGTTCTAGACAACTGATACAAATACAAAGATATTTTTTTTTATTTATTTCGTAAATACATACATATTATACATAGAAAATACCCGGACCGATACAAACAATCATACTATGACTACAAATGTTTGTGCCGTGCGAGGAATCGAACCCGCGACCATCGGACGGAAAGCGGTGTGCCAGACCGCTAGACCACCGAGGTCGTCAACGTTATTCTATTGGAACAATAAACCACAACAAATACAAACTGTATAGTAAATCCACATATTCTACTGAAGTACCTACTTGACCCATTACATGTGGGTTTAGCTGAGTATAATTTATGGAGCCTCAAATCGAACAAGTTAAGTTTGTTAAGTTATAGGTTACCGAAGTGACTTTGTAACCTGTATACCTAACTTGTAGAACTTAGTGAAATTTACCTTCTATTCTTGGTATTAGTATGTAATATTACCGACGACCTGCGGTCTAGCACACCGCTTTACGTCCGATGGTCGCGGGTTCGATTCCTCGCACGGCACAAACATTTGTATTCATGAGTATGATTGTTTGTATCGTTCTGAGTATTTTCTATGTATAATATGTATGTATTTAACAGTTGTACCCATCATCATTTAGTATCTAGTACAATTGTTATATATTTATATTTGTCTAGTACCCATAACACAATTGCTTGTAAATTGTCCAGGGTTATTTATTTATTTATTTATTTAATATTATGTTATCTGTGGTATTAGTAAATTTAATTAACATTGTCCGTACATGTTATAATTTAATTGTAAATCTTAGGAATATAAGTAATATTTATTGATAACGTTGGTAACCACATCGCTTTATTGATTTCTTACGTCGTACAAATATTTGTATTCATGAGTATGATTGATGTATCGGTCTAGGTATTTTCTATGTGCATATCTTCATTTTCTTGCCTTTATCCCATTATTTGTGGTCGGCGCAGTATGTCATTCTCTTCCACTGTTCTCTATCAGTCGTCATATCTAAACATACACTTCTTTTATTCATATCATCTTGCACACAATCCATCCATCTTTTCTTAGGGGGGGACGCCCTAAGACACTCTATCATGTCCTAGTAACATCTTCCCATCCCTTGGTCTGCCTCTGCCACTACGTCCAGAAACAGCGGCGCCAGGTTTCCGACGTAATCAGGTGGGTTTCTCTTCACGTGTCCATACCATCGCAATCTATTTTCTTGCATTTTTTCGACAATATCGCGAACAGTCGGACCTCCTCGTACGTACTCGTTTGGTACGTATTTTATCGAGCCTGGGTATACCCAGGCGAGATAAAATACGTACGATAGAAGATAATATAATAATAAGTACGAAGATGTGCGGTATACCGCACATCTACCTCAGCATCTTCATTTCAGCAACTTGGAAGGGAAACAAATTCATAATGACAACAATAGTATTCATATTATGTACTATATATTACACACGTTTAGAAGCAATTTGTTAGATCACGCCTCACTAAAAGATACATCAACGGAACGAGCCTCTCAAATTCAAGCCAATTACACAGCCTTGTTATGCCTGATAGATGACTCACAATACTCCACACCGCTATTATACTACCTACACTATAAATTCTATATAATACTAGCTAATAATCGCGGGAACGCGATTTTTTTTTTTTTAATGGATGATAATGGAATGGTGCACCCGCCTGCTCTAATGGATTACGCTGGCGGGGCACCAGTGGAAGATGATAAGATGAGCATGAGGTCAGGTCAGTTAGCCCCTCGTGACAAATTCTCCAGTAATTGATCACGATGGTTTCCAGGGGGACCGCGTGGAGGTCGACCTGACATAGTACATTGCTAGCAATAAGATCATCAGTCCACATTACTAACAATCCCCTTTCCCCCCCCGGGAACGCGACTAGGTCCGCTTGGAGTTTAACTTTATTTTTCTAAAATAAAAGTAGCCTAAAGAACTAAAAATTATTTTTTTCGTCTTAATTTATTCGTTCCATTAGGTACTGATAGGTTCAAACTAATTCATTTACTAAAATAAAAGTAGCCGAACTTACTCCTTATTACATCAGCTACCTGCCAAAAAAAGTCCCATCAAACTCGGTCAAGCCATTTTAGAGATTAGTCGGTATAAACAGACAGACAGGCAAAAATGTTAAAAGATGTTATTTTGGTGTATGTACCGTATTTATATTCATATGCATGTAGTAAAAAACGGTTATTTCAATATTACAAACAAACACTCCAATTTTATTTATATATATATATTCATATGTATGTTAGTCTGTAAGGTATATATAATATGGGATATTAGTAGCGTGAATTAAATAACTAAATACATTTTTTTTTACCTAAAGTAAGTTGCAGTTAAAATATTGACTTTATTGTAGATCCGTATACACTTACCGTCCGTAAGTAGTTTAAATAAACATAAAAAGTAAAATCATAAAATCATCATACAAATCTATATGTATGATAATTTTATGATTTTACTTTCATATTGCGAATACATTAGCTCACAAAATGCAATAGTGGAAATATCGAGAGAGGTAAATACCTTTATTTACCTTAAAATTATTCATTTTAAAACCGGGTTCACGATATAAATAATGTATATAAAACGTGAAAGTTTAAAAATAACTATAGCATAGTAATACTAACAAAATGGATAGTAAACTATCTAGTGTCGTTTCAAACAAAAGTTTTTCCTTATTTACGATTTCGATTCGACACAGAACTAAAGAAATAATATATATATGACAGCCTCGGTGATCTAGTGGTTTAGCACACCGCTTTACTATCCGATGGTCGTGGGTTCGATTCCTCGCACGGTACAAACATTTGTATTAATGAGTATGATTGTTTGTATCGGTCTGGATGTTTTCTATGTATAATTTGTATTTATTTACAAAAAAAAATGTATCCATGTATTTATATCAGTTGTCTAGTACCCATAACACAATCTCTGCTTAGCTTGGGACTAGATGGCACTGTGTGAATGTCCGGAGAATATATATATATATATATATTTACATATGTATGCCACTTGTAACATTATTTCCATAGTTTCTAACTAATAAAAGTTCAAGCTATCTGCCGTCAAAATATACACGGACCTTACCGATCCAAGATTCGTATTGTGACTCTGAATACTTGACTATTAAGGTCATATGCTGTTTTGTATTCCTCGCCATCTCAACCCTTTCCTAAGCTTTTGTCTTATGAATTCCAGATGAGTCTTTCCACCCCGCGACCCAGCCTCCGCCCCGTTCCTCAGGTACCTATTTAGATTCCATTCTCTATACTATTTAGATTAATTATTCATTTTTGATGGATCCCATTGAATTTGCTGCAAATCGTATATAATTTATAAGGTCTAAATGAAATGATATTTTAGTATATTTTTGTAGATAATAAAAAAGGAGATGTCATCCTGTTTTATCTGTAGAAATAACCTGATATTAGTATATATAATAATATTTGCACCGCCAACAACTCTCTGCACAACTCATGGTTGCCTGGTAGAAAATGCCATTAGGTGTTAAGTCCGCCATATGTACTTTTTACTTATGTATGACGTACATTAAAGTTATTTAAATAATATGTATATATAGCTAGCTATTTTCGCGATTTCGTTATCGTAAAATTAAACTTTATTTTTCTAAAATAAAAGAATTTTCTCAAAATAAAAGTTATTACATCAGCTACCTGCCAAAAAAAGTCCTGTCTAAATCGGCCCAGCCATTTCAGAGATTAGCCGGAACAAACAGACAGATAGACAAAAATTGTAAAAAATGTTATTTTGGTGTATGTACCGTATTTATATTCATATGCATGTAGTAAAAAACGGTTATTTCAATATTACAAACAGACACTCCAATTTTATTTATATGTATAGATTTGTAGATGATAAAAAATAGTTAATAACTGTTTTATCTGTGGAAATAAGCTTACATAATCTTTAAACACATACCTTTACGACTGTTATCCGTAATGGCATACCAATGGTAAGAGGCATACCAATTTTCCATGTTATGGTAAATGCAACACATTATATGTCCAAATTTCGCTAGAAATATTTTGAATCCATTTGGGGGGGGGAGGGGGCGAACTTACCGTAGTATCTTTCATATTTACTTTGGTTTGATTACGGTGTTTATTTAACCGGAGAATCAGTCAGAAATATCAATTCATAAACAAAGATTTTTTTTGTCAACCGATTTGAACTCACTACCTCTTGGGTATCCGTCAGTTGTGTGTCACGATGCTTTTTAATCACAAGACCGTATATTGTTTTGAAATAAGGATTCTTCGACGTTCTATATTAATACGAGATGAGTTTCTTGTCAGTTCTTCTTATCTCGAAAGCCTGCGAACTGATTGTAGATTTGACATATCATAAGAGTCGGTAATAGACCTACATGAATATATAAATATATAATATACAAATCTAATTAAAACAATATTTATTTAAAAGAGCAACGCACAAGTTTCTTGGTCATTCTTCTTGTGATGAGTCTGCATTCCGAATGAGTGGTAGAATAAAAAAATGTTAGTATTCAAAAATCTGTAATGATATAATATAAAAAGATATGTATATGACGGTTTCGGTAATCTTGTTTTATGTTCTTTTTACTTCTGATGGTCGCGGGTTCAATTCCTTGCACAGTACAAACATTTGTATTCATCAGTATGATTGTACCTGGGTATTAACTATATATGTTATGTATGTATTTACAAAAAAATTGCGTAGTATTTATATCAGTTGTCTAGTATCCATAACACAAGCTGTACTTAGCTTGGGACTAGATGGCGCTGTGTGAATTGTTCATAGATATTATTATTATTATTTAACATTATTTTATTTAGACCTTATATATCAGCTGGAAGTTACTGAGTGGAGAAGAATATTGAAAAGAATGTACTTTAGAAATACTCCGATTTTCAGTTTTGTTTGTTGTAATAAAACAAACGTACAAAGTAAAAACAGAGAGGTCTTTCGAGATAAATACTTATCAATAATCCTTAAAAAGATCTGCAGCAAATTCAGTATTTGAGGCATGATATATTGTTTCTATTTTGCTTTATTTCTTTTAACAGTTTATTTGCAGCATCATTTTAAGAGTGCT